TAAGAGTAGATTGAATCAATTGCTAATTCTGCAGCTAAGAAAGTTGGCTTATTATGTCATGCCTGACAATTTTTCTCACCAGAATCTATCTTGCATATTTATAAGTCTATTTCTGCCACATCTGGTCTGGTGCTCCCGATATATTTTTTAGAGTTTCTTGATAAAAGAATTCTTGATAAAAAGAATCTTCAATGTTATTAGTCTAACCCTGGCATCAATCCCGGGCTCATCATTCAAAAAAGGTATAATATGTCTATGTGGAGCAAGTGTGGCCTGAGTTACAGAGGTTTCAGACACACGGACGGACAGACAGAATTTGCCGTTTAATCAGAAGATTACTTATTAAACATGTAAACACTTTCATTTACAACGATTGCAGCCCAATGGGAAGGCAACTGTTCTTTTTAGGCGTTTAAAGTAATCTGGATTTTTTTTCCGAAAAAAAACTCTTTGAAAAACTGCTTTCACCTCCCTTCTTTGTTTTTTAATGTCTTTCCATTTATGATATGCTCAAGGAATCGAACTAAATGGCAATCTGTACGGTAAATATGAAGGATGTGGATTAATTGGTTGGTTTGATTGGATTTTTTTCTTTATTGTTTATCAGGTTCTTGTGCGTTATTTGATGTGACGTGTGGTGTAAAGGATATTGGCTCAACATGAGAAATCGGAGAGCCGAGTTCGAACTCCAGTCGGGTTCATTACATTCATTTACACGCAAAGCTATTATTCCATCTCTTCTCCCCTAGGTATGGGTTAACTAGAAGGACAAACTGGCTCCTATATTCTTGGTTGACAAACCGTCTATCGTAGAAAAAAACGGCGGCCTACCGCGGGAAAATATTCTGCCTGGTTACTTATGAATCGAAAGAGACATGATCGCCCAAGTGTGTATCACGTATGACACTTAACTGACATACTGTGTTATTTAAGATCGAAATATTTTGGATTGTAAGAATAATTCTTCTTTCGCGAGTGAAAATAGTATTAACGATTTTCTAGGAGATAATGATTTTTCCAGATTCTGTTTAACCCATAGAAGGGGGAGATGGACTAGACCCATACCTTTCTTTGGGGTATTTTCACAAAGGTGAATATAGCAAACCTAGCTGAAATTCAAACTCTTCGATTTCTCATATCCGACCCAATATCCATTAAACCAACCAAACATCCAATCAAGAACAGAAAGGTACAAAACTTATGGTTCAGTATTAGTCTACTGGTACCAGTGTTTCATTTACTGATTGATTGTTTTTTACGGATTATCAACCTTTTTTAGGTTATTTAATACCGAAACATATTTTGAATTGTAAGATTAATTACACACACACACACACACACACACATATATATATATATATATATATATATATATATATATATATATATTTTGGTTGGATAGATGTGAGTTTCTGACCCTGGGTTTCACGCTTTAGCGATCGTCAGACAAACTGATTAATGTTTTAAAATTTGGGTTTATGTAGATTTTTCAAACATTAATCAGTTTGTCTGACGATCGCAAAAGTGAAACCCAGGTCACAAACCACATCTATCCAACAAATATGTTAGCTCTATCTCTGATATTGAGCGCTTTCTATTATATTACTGCGCATATAATATATAAATAATTATACATATATATATATTTTATTATTATTTATATTTATATACACTTTTCACACACACACACACACACACACACACACACACACACACACACACACACACACACACACACATATATATATATATTTGCTTGTGAATATTGCCAAGGATATTTGCACGTAAGTAAATGTAACGGAACCAACCAGAATTTGACCTCTGCTTTCCGTTTTCTCATTCAAAGCCGATATCCATTACACCGCCCGCATATCATGGAGGTTGTGGAAGAACTTTCCATCCTAACGATTTTATTTTTTGTTGGGTTTGTTTTGCAGAGTGAGAGCTTTCATTGTCATATTGGAGAATAATATCTTACCTCTTTAACACAGGACCCTTTCGATGCAATACCTCATCGACCCAATACAGCTGGTGTCAATAAGTATCCACAATGATACTCCTTCCATGTTCCAGCAGCTCGTCATGGATGACACCTTTCATCTTCCAACAAAACACAAAACCGAGACTTCTTTGGATGGAGTCCTGGTTTTGGTGTTGGCAATGGGTTCTAATTTTGTGATAACCAGTGTTTTTTCCCCCATTTTCTGTTGATATGCAAAATCATTTTTTTAAACTCACATTTTAAAATGCAATGCGAAATTGAAAGGTTAACATTCCTGGTTAAATGACGGCCTTAGATGATGTAACGTTATGTTCGTTTCTCAAGCGAATTGCTTCTGGGAAATCCGATGTTCCTCTGAGCATTTTTTAACCAATTCACTTGACATGTTCCTGGACAGTTGAACATAATATATTAATTTTGTGCGCCAAATCTTTGACGTGAATCCAATTCAATATCTCTTCCAACCTCTTCGCACAGAGAGGTTCGTCTTTTGCGAAACTGGTTGGATATGTTAGAGTGGTCTATTGAAAACACAGCTGAACTTATACTACGTTCCTATACACAGCAAGAATGGTTTTGAATGCTTCTCTGGCCATACTACACATTAAGAGTAGATACAAAATGGCGGATATGTTGCTTATTAAAAAGATGTTGAACTCTGAAATGTACTTCTAATGACAAAAGTACGAAGGTGTAGACTTTGAGAAAGTTTTATTCAGCTGGGAATACAAGGTTCACATATAGTGTCTTTTTATAATCACAGTAAACAGAAAGAGCTCTCTCAAAGAGGAGAGCAACAAAACAAGGGGAGATCACTCTTGATTATTCATAACAGTACTATAAACACTACACTGTATTTCGAGACAAATTTTCGTACTATTTAAACTTAGTTCTAATTTGCTTGGCTGACACATGATTCGTTGTAGTGAATTACGTAATTATTTGTCGAACAACCTAATAAAAAAGATGATAAACTAATTCTAGATGAAGTTTCCTACCATTCACGTTTGTTTCTGTCTTGGTTGGTTGACCCATAAATCATATCGGCGAAATACGTAATTGCTTTCCGAACACACTAATTATATTCACTAAGATTAGCTGAATTTGTCCCAATATTATAACAATTGTGCTTTTTTTGAATATATCAGAACTACTATATTTCCAATGTATAATTTATTTAGACGTAAAATATCGGTATTTTTTATATACGAGATCTGATCAAAAAGTAGCAGGTGTAGTGCTATAAAAAAAAAACTACAACACATATCAATTCGGTATTTAATCTCCTTCCAAGTAGTCTTCTTCTGGAGCCACGCACTTTAACCAGCGTCGTTTTAATTGATGGAACCATTCCTTGAATTCCATTTTTTTTTTCTTATTTTTTTTTTTTTTGGTTAGCGAGCAGCTGCCTCGTTGCATTCTCTTAGATTGACTTGAAGTTTTGAAATCCTGTTTCTGTCAAGTCGAATTTGAGTTTTGAAGAGGAAAAAGTCGCAAGAGATGAGATCTGGAGAATATGATTGTTGTCAAACTTGGGAATATGTACTTGGCCCAAAACTGCTGCAGGTGCTATAGCCACTAATGAAATCTCTGTGGTGTAGTGAGACGACCACACTCTACACACTTTCCTTCCAAGCACAGCTATAAACAAAGGAAGCGAGCGAGAACGTTATAACTTGGTGTGCATGCCCAATAGAGTTCAAGGTCTATCTGTGTCAAGCGGTCAAATGATGGTTCCGTGTAGGATATAGGTTTAATTCCAGTCGGAAGACACATTTTCTACGAAATCTCTCGGACATTCAGGCCGGTAAATGTAATCAATACTGTTTATTATAAACAGAGCATTTACTTAAATAACTGTATCAATAAAAAATAACGTATAAACAGAAATATACATTAAAATAATTGTCATTTGTTGTTATTTGTTTACGTTAAGATACGCTTTGAGCAAATATGATCGTTCGAGGAAGATCGTGGGAAATTTATTGTTTTAAAACAATGAAGCTTTACACTTTTTGAAAATTCCAGAATACCTTTCGTGAGTTACCAGACATAAAATAAACATGGTGAATGTATCAGCTGAAACGTTATGATAAAATAACAAACAAGCCCAATTCGTTTTTTTTTAATCATGTCACCCCAAGCAAAGTTTATACCAACTAAAACGAAAAGGGTTACTGACTGTGAAAGAATGTGAGAAAAAGAAAAAATTATTAAGGAGAAAAAGAGAGAGAGAAAGAGAGAAAGAGAGAGAGAGTAATAAAAGAAGAGGAATTAAGAAGACAAAAGATAATGATTGACATTGCATTTACATTTTTGAAAATCAAAGTTGACTAGAAAGCAACAGACCGGAGCTGAGTTCTCCAAGCGAGAAGTGCGAGAAAAAAAAACAGTAAAGAAGTTACGGTTACATCTCGCCATTTCAACTGTAAAATAATGAGACCTAGCTGCCAGTCGGGCGTGTATTCAATTCTTTATTGCCATATATGCAAAATACAAACCATCTGTTCTATTTTAAAAACGCTAAAATGGTTAATTTATTTATCATAATCCATCTAGATCTAGCGCCACCAAACAGGAAAGCTCATCAAATAATTCCTATGAAAATAATTTTAGAAAGGGCAATTATTGAAGAAATAATTATTCAGGAAATATATGGATGTTTATAAAAATAAAACAGTATGAAAATAACTGAAGCCGTGATGCCAGATCAGGACCAATAAAACATTGCAGAGCCTTCTTTGGGTTTTATCAAGAATCTCTAAATAGATAGCAGAAGCATCAGGCCATAAGTGTCAGCAATATTCAAACCATGGACAAACGGTAGACTTATAAATTTATAAGATAGATTCTGAAGAGGAGAATTGTTTAGCACTATACGGTGAACGATCTTTCCTAGCGGCTGACCTAGAAATTGATTCAGTATAATTTTTCTGCTTCATATCATCGTAGAATTCGTGGAATAATGATTTTTATTTATTTATTTATAATTATCTAGGCGTATGGACAAACTTTCATCCATGACGATCACTTTCTGGCGGTCGTTGGTTCGATTTCAGCCATCGGTAACACGTTGGGAAGAGCTCTATGGGGAATTGTTGCGGACAAAATCGGAGAAAAAGTAAGTTAAAATAACGTCAAACAAATAATGGTTACTGTTTCTTTCAGTCTATTCCTTGAATAAAATATTTTTCACGATCCTGTGTGAAAAAATTGAGAAATAATTCGAGAATGCAGTTTACCCTGACGGAATAATATACACTTACTCTCGATTTATTTGATGTACTATTTTTGCACGTGCATATCCGTCTTTGGATTTTATCAAGGACCTTGAGACAATTAGAAGGAGCTCCAGACTATATTTGACAGCAATACTCCATGCAAGGGCGAATGGTTGATTTGTAGATTTGAAGGATCGACTCTGGCGAGAAAAAATTCCTGGCTCGGCATAGGAAGTCAACTTTCCTAGCGGTGGACGAAGCTATTGACTCAATTCATTCCATCTGTTCATTATTATTATCTACACAATATTAATGCTCTTTTTGAGCACTTTATTTGCAAGATTCTGCATGCCTTAAACGCGTTATCTTCTTGCAATTAATCATTACGCGGAAACTAATTTTTGTTAAGCATACATACATAACATTTGGACAGTTTTTATGTTCAGAAAAAGAAAATACTTGTAGGAATCTAAATAAAAGCTTAATCGCAGTACCTTGTTAGTCACTTTTAACAAAATGTATATGAAAGAGGGGTTAGTGCTCAAATATGCAATTGTTAAATATGTGTGCATATCTGTGTGTGGAGGGTGTAAAGCAACAGAAGGAAAAGTTATCTTAGCCGAAGCGTTTCCTCTAATTTACCTTGATAAAGTCCATAAGAAGATTAAACGTGTTGTCTAAAATAGGATTACCTTTTGTCTTTATTCATACATACGTACATATATACATGTATGTATAATATATATATATATATATATATATATATATATATATATATATATATATATATATATATATATATAGAAAAATATAGTCTTAAGGTGTGCTATATTTATGGAATAAAGTGCTCAATATCAGAGATAGGCATTAATGTAAATATAAAAAGTGAACATAAAAGTCAACACTTAGAGGCGACAGTCTGTTTCATGCTATATGCAATTGTCAGGCCTAACTTGCATCTGGCAGCAACTGTGAAACAATTTTCTATATTCTTTTATATATATATATATATATATATATATATACACACACACACACACATATATATATATATATATATATATATATATATATATATATATATATTAATAATTAATGGATAAATCAAATAACTAGATATCAGTAACGTATATATATATATATATAATATATTGTTTTTCAAATTTTTGCTACTTACTTTGCTACAACTTTCGATACGCAAGATGTCTTCCCCCTCCCCAACCTATAACTCTCTTCATCAATGTTTACAATCGCACTGCCCACAACGACACACACTAATAACAATAGACCGGCCTAACACTTTCACACCAATCAAAATTTTAAATTTATTTTTTTTTTTTTTTATAAAAAGTTTCGCACATCGAGGAATCAGGCAGAGATCGGGTTTTTCTTAATAATACGATTTTCACTGAGAAATACCCCATTTACAAAAACATCTCTTGGTTAAATAATTCCTTTTTTCTCTGTTTGTTCCTCGGACCGTTGATGAAGGACACAGGCGTGTCCGAAAATTCCGAACATAGAACCTTTCTCTCCGGGCTTCATTTTTGTCAAATGGTTAATATTTAATAAATGTTTATCGTACTGATTAGAATTGTACTCTTTCGTTTGTCCTTGTTTTATTAAACAACCTATCTATTTTACAAACACACACAAATATATACATATATATATATATATATATATATATATATATATATATATATATATATATATATATATATATATACATGAATGGACAAAGTCCGACAATTTATTTATTAAAGACATTTTTATGTTTAACGTTCTTTTATAGATACAAGTATTTAAGTAAATGCTCTGTTTATAATAAACAGTATTAAATAACATTTACCGGCCTGAATGTCCGAAATTTTCATAGAAAATATTCGTCCTTTGTATAGGATGCAGGTTCGAATCCTGTCAAAGGACAAATATTTTCAGTACGAATATTATATATATATATATATATATATATATATATATAAAATCTCATAACATCCTCAGTGCTTAGTCTTGAAGCGGGTAGAGTGGAGATCAACGTGTTTTAGTGGACTCAGCGGTTTCAATCTGATAGTCTGAATCGTCTTCAAGATGGAGAGCAAGATCTAAACGGTCCAGCGAATCTAATAGTGACCTCATCCCACAATCCTCACTCTTGCTCCATATCCGGCGCCCTTTGGAAATCACTTGCGGGTCTTAAATGTAAGAATAAAACAGACAACTTTTATGTTTACATACGCACTATCTTTTCTATTGAGCAATTTATCCCATAAATATAGCATACGCCAGAACTGTATTTTCATCACACACACAGACATATATATATATATATATATATATATATATATATATATATATATATATATATATAGATAGATAGATATGATAGATAGATATAGGTCTGCTCTGCAGTTTGTATTGAGCTCTTTTAGTTAGTTGTTTACTCGTGTCGGGGTTTTTACTTTGGGCTTTAAACCTGTATCTGTGCGATTTTTTCGACAGACTTTCATGTTTCTAGCTCTTTCCTTTTTTAAAACCTTTTTTTCCTTCGAGATTGATTTGATCATTGGCAAATCAAAAATTCTAAGGTTTTTCGAAATGAGTATAGTTACCTATATTTATATATATTATGTCATTCGCAGACAGTATTGTTTCGATTTATCACAGCTCAATGCGACTAGAGAACCGAATGCCTCAAGCCCGGATCAAAAACTGACCAATTTGGTGTCAGTCAGAGTTTCTACCACTGAGCCATCTTCACTCGACAGAATGCGTCAGCCAAATCTAGCGTATTGTTTTTACAAACGTAACCAAACGCCAAGCAGCCAAAGTGCTCCATTCATTTTACTGAAGAGCTTCGCATTTATGCCGGTGACCGTTGTTTTTAAGAATGAGCTTCTCATTCAACAGTGCTCTATTAAAAATGAAGAATTACCGGATTTATTTATAATCCGACATTTACTTCAAACATTATCTCTTTAGTGGATATCCGTGTTTGAAACAGACGTCGCGTTTTTTGTGGGTTTTTTTTTTTGTGTGTTTTTTACTTCTATCGTTCTGCAGACGTGAGAAAACACCTGGAAAGCATATATTCGTTATTAAGTTTTCCGTTTAAAAATATAAAAAATGGGGCGTCTATTTCGAACACAGATATCCACTAAGAATAAACGTTTGAAGCAATATATAAAGGGTGGCAATATAGACACTATACAGTTACTTATAATAAAAAAGCGAAGCACTGAAGCAGATGGCTTGCAGTTCGAACAGTATCGGTAATTAATTTACCAGAGCATTTTATTATTATTAACCAGAACCATTTTAATAATAAATTTCTGGACCGTTCATTAATCGCTTTGTTTTAACTGGTTATTGAAAGTAACTGTATAGTGACTTTATTACCACCCTCTGTGTGTGTGTGTGTGTGTGTGTGTGTGTGAATAAAAAGACTCATGAAGAAAAATTAAGGTTTTAGTGATCTTCGGGTGCGTATTATATAGCTTGTCTTATATTTTATTGACATACAATATATTTCAGTAATTCCCTATCTTGAGTGGTTCTTGGGGCTTTGTATTGAATGCATTCTAATTGCAAGAAATCATAGAATAGTCTGTAAACACTTCGTTATGGCTTATCTGCCACTCTAGGAATTTATTATCATGCCTCCATTGAGAAAGACATTCGGACATTTTTTAATCAATAGGCTGCCCTGTTGGGAGGAATTTTAAAATGTCTAACTTTTGTTTCAAACTAGTCTGCAGCATTCAGAGCCTGATTTGTATGAAAATGGTTTTCTTAAGGTTTGTCATTACGCCTCCGGAGTATTCCTTCCTTTAGCCTTCAATTCCTACAAATGGCTGAAAAGGATTTTGATATTGCTATACAGCCTTCTCGCGGAAGAACTTTTATGGCTGCAGCATCTGACTCCACGACCGAAAGGTAACACTAACAAGATATATCGGTTTCACCTTTTGATTTTACCAATTGCCTGGCGGAGTATATTAGAATTTAAACAATACAACCGTTGAGGAAGAATTCTAAAGAAAAACATAATTACTTATGAATACATTGAACCCACTCTCTCGGTCTCATATATATATATATATATATATATATATATATATATATATATATATATATGCGTGCGTGTGTGTGGGTGTGTAACATTTCAGATAGTGTATCTGTAAAGGACAATATGAATAAAGACAAAATGAAAACATAGCCAACATGTTTCGTTCTCTGAGGGATTTTATAAAGACAAATGCAAAGGATTTATTTTGCATCAAGTATCTATATACAAGAATATATATATATATATATATATATATATATATTAACTTTTCAATTTTTTTAATTGAGAACGCCCATGAATATTCATCAGGTTAGATAAAAAAAATCAGGCAATCTATTGCGGACAAGTGACACAATTTGTCCTCTTTAGTATTAAGATGTTGTCATATATCCTATTTAAGGCGATAATAAAATTTTTGCAATATCAACTCATTATTTATATATATATATATATATATATATATATATATATATATATATATATATATTAATTATGAAAAAGAAGACTCACAACTTCATGGTGATATTTATTTCATTAGTATCGAAAAATTCGATTCCAATTCTTCAGACCCAAGCCATATATATATATATATATATATATATATATATATATATATATATAATGATTTTAAAAATTATAATATATATATATATTATAATTTTTTAAATTATATATATATATATATATATATATATATATATATATATATATATATATATATATTAAAATTATAATATATATATGATTCCAGCATCATATATATATATTATTATTTTTAAAAAAATTTATTATGCTCTACTGTTGTATCGAATACTATTTTTTTTAAATAAAAATAAATGCCAAGAAATCTGGATTATAAATCTCACTCTTCTTTCCTATTATTTTAATATATATATATATATATATATATATATATATATATATATTATTTCTAATTTAATAATTATTGCTCTATTTTGCTTATATCAATAGTTATCATCATATATATTTGCGTGCGTATGTGTGTGTGTTTGTGCAAGGACATAAGTGTGCGTGTATTTGAAATAAGGACTGAGTGGCTCGACATGATAGCAATACTCCATTTTTGGTCTTATCTGACTTTTGTGAAGAAACAAGGCAGCTGGGCCAAACGGAATTGTAAAAGCCTCACAGGCCAAATTGAACAGAAACAAAGCAGCTGGGCCAGACGTAATTGTAAAAAGCCTCACAGGCCAAATTGAACAGAAACAAAGGCAGCTGGGCCAGACGTAATTGTAAAAAGCCTCACAGGCCAAATTGAACAGAAACAAGGCAGCTGGGCCAAACAGAATTGTAAAAAGTCTCAGAGGCCAAATTGAACAGAAACAAAGGCAGCTGGGCCAGACGTAATTGTAAAAAGCCTCACAGGCCAAATTGAACAGAAACAAGGCAGCTGGGCCAGACGTGGTGTAAAAAGCCTCACAGGCCAAATTGAACAGAAACAAGGCAGCTGGGTCAAACGGAATTGTAAAAGCCTCACAGGCCAAATTGAACAGAAACAAGGCAGCTGGGCCAGACGTAATTGTAAAAGCCTCACAGGCCAAATTGAACAGAAACAAGGCAGCTGGGCCAGACGTAATTGTAAAAGCCTCACAGGCCAAAGTGAACAGAAACAAGGCAGCTGGGCCAAACGGAATTGTAAAAGCCTCACAGGCCAAAGTGAACAGAAACAAGGCAGCTGGGCCAAACGGAATTGTAAAAAGCCTCACAGGCCAAAGTGAACAGAAACAAGGCAGCTGGGCCAAACGGAATTGTAAAAAAGCCTCACAGGCCAAATTGAACAGAAAACAAGGCAGCTGGGCCAGACGTAATTGTAAAAAAAGCCTCACAGGCCAAATTGAACAGAAACAAGGCAGCTGGGCCAAACAGGAATTGTAAAAGCCTCACAGGCCAAATTGAACAGAAACAAGGCAGCTGGGCCAGACGTAATTGTAAAAAACCTCACAGGCCAAATTGAACAGAAACAAGGCAGCTGGGCCAGACGTAATTGTAAAAAACCTCACAGGCCAAATTGAACAGAAACAAGGCAGCTGGGCCAGACGTAATTGTAAAAGCCTCACAGGCCAAAGTGAACAGAAACAAGGCAGCTGGCCAAACGGAATCGTAAAAGCCTCACAGGCCAAATTGAACAGAAACAAGGCAACTGGGCCAGACGTAATTGTAAAAGCCTCACAGGCCAAATTGAACAGAAACAAGGCAGCTGGGCCAAACGGAATTGTAAAAGCCTCACAGGCCAAATTGAACAGAAACAAGGCAGCTGGGCCAAACAGAATTGTAAAAAGCCTCACAGGCCAAATTGAACAGAAACAAGGCAGCTGGGCCAGACGTAATTGTAAAAAAGCCTCACAGGCCAAATTGAACAGAAACAAGGCAGCTGGGCCAGACGTAATTGTAAAAAAAAGCTGAACAGAAACCACAGGCCAAATTGAACAGAAACAAGGCAGCTGGGCCAGACGTAATTGTAAAAAAGCCTCACAGGCCAAAGTGAACAGAAACAAGGCAGCTGGCCAAACGGAATCGTAAAAAAGCCTCACACCAGGCCAAATTGAACAGAAACAAGGCAGCTGGGCCAGACGTAATTGTAAAAAGCCTCACAGGCCAAAGTGAACAGAAACAAGGCAGCTGGGCCAAACGGAATTGTAAAAAAGCCTCACAGGCCAAATTGAACAGAAACAAGGCAGCTGGGCCAAACGGAATTGTAAAAAAGCCTCACACGCCAAAGTGAACAGAAACAAGGCAGCTGGGCCAAACAATTGTAAAAAAAAGCTCACAGGCCAAAGTGAACAGAAACAAGGCAGCTGGGCCAAACGGAATTGTAAAAAAGCCTCACAGGCCAAATTGAACAGAAACAAGGCAGCTGGGCCAGACGTAATTGTAAAAAAAAACCTCACAGGCCAAATTGAACAGAAACAAGGCAGCTGGGCCAAACAGAATTTAAAAAAGCCTCCAAATTGAACAGAAACAAGGCAGCTGGGCCAGACGTAATTGTAAAAAAGCCTCACAGGCCAAATTGAACAGAAACAAGGCAGCTGGGCCAGACATGGTTGTAAAAAGCCTCACAGGCCAAATTGAACAGAAACAAAGGCAGCTGGGCCAGACGTAGTTGTAAAAACCTCACAGGCCAAAGTGAACAGAAACAAGGCAGCTGGCCAAACGGAATCGTAAAAAAAAAAAACAGGCCAAATTGAACAGAAACAAGGCAACTGGGCCAGACGTAATTGTAAAAGCCTCACAGGCCAAATTGAACAGAAACAAGGCAGCTGGCCAAACGGAATCGTAAAAGCCTCACAGGCCAAATTGAACAGAAACAAGGCAACTGGGCCAAACGGAATTGTAAAAAGCCTCACAGAACAAATTGAACAGAAACAAAGGCAGCTTGGCCAGACGTAATTGTAAAAAGCCTCACAGGCCAAATTGAACAGAAACAAGGCAGCTGGGCCAGACAGAATTGTAAAAAAAAAAAAAAAAAAAAGCCTCACAGGCCAAATTGAACAGAAACAAAGGCAGCTGGGCCAGACGTAATTGTAAAAAAAGCCTCACAGGCCAAATTGAACAGAAACAAGGCAGCTGGGCCAGACGTAATTGTAAAAAAAGCCTCACAGGCCAAAAGTGAACAGAAACAAAGGCAGCTGGGCCAAACGGAATTATAAAAAAGTCTCAGAGGCCAAATTGAACAGAAACAAGGCAGCTGGGCCAGACGTAATTGTAAAAAGCCTCACAGGCCAAATTGAACAGAAACAAGGCAGCTGGGCCAGACGTAATTGTAAAAAGCCTCACAGGCCAAATTGAACAGAAACAAAGGCAGCTGGGTCAAACGGAATTGTAAAAAAGCCTCACAGGCCAAATTGAACAGAAACAAGGCAGCTGGGCCAGACGTAATTGTAAAAAATCTCACAGGCCAAATTGAACAGAAACAAGGCAGCTGGGCCAGACGTAATTGTAAAAAACCTCACAGGCCAAATTGAACAGAAACAAAGGCAGCTGGGTCAAACGGAATTGTAAAAGCCTCACAGGCCAAATTGAACAGAAACAAGGCAGCTGGGCCAAACGGAATTGTAAAAGCCTCACAGGCCAAATTGAACAGAAACAAGGCAGCTGGGCCAGACGTAATTGTAAAAGCCTCACAGGCCAAATTGAACAGAAACAAGGCAGCTGGGCCAGACGTAATTGTAAAAGCCTCACAGACCAAATTGAATAGAAACAAGTCTGCTGGGCCAAACGGAATTATAAAAGCCTAACAGACCAAATTGAACTGAAACAAGGCAGCTGGGCCCGACGGAATTGTAGCGGAAACGCTGACAGCCTTAGATGACTTTGGCATAGACAAAATCACCGAAGTAACAAATGAAATCTACAAGAGTGGGAATATACCGGTTGACCTCAGTAGACCAGCAGCATTATAGGACATTATTGTAAAAATATATATACTAATCTGTCCCATTTTTCTTTTTCAGATAAGTTTATTGATCTTGGCAATTTTACTGACAGCTTTACAATGTTTGATGAATCTGTCCGAAACAATCGGTCGATATTATTTCTTGTTCATCGTTTTCTTCATCTTTCTCACTGGAACTGGAACGTATGCAATTCTTTCTTCGGCGACTTTTAAATGTTTTGGGCCTAAATACTACTCAACAAACTTTGGTCTTATTTTCACCTCCCAGGTAAGACGCTCCGTTACGATATTATTTTTTTTACAACGACTAAACTGTAAACGGTGTTAGCACTAACGATGTAATGGTTGCATTGGGAAATTCTTTAGAGAACACAAGAGTCATTGTTTGAATACCGGGGTGATATCTCTTCAAAATCTGTTTAAAGTTATATGTTGCTACGGGGGAAATACGTTTTGAAAGTAATTGAATATTGGAAAATAGAAAATGTTTATCCGTAAGATGTGACCGAAAACCTATTAAAGTATGAACAAAGAATTAGAAAAACAAAAGGTGCAAATAACAAAGCGAAGTAATACTTGGTGTGGGGGGGGGAGAAGTTAAAGACCTAATTAAAGTGAGAATAGAAGGAATTAGCGGGTAGATGGGGAAGGAGAAAATATGAAATCGGGATGGAAAAGAAAGAGAGAAGAAGGAATGAAATCTAAAGGGCAGTGAATGAATGAAGTACAGAGGGGAAAGAAAGAATGAAATAAAGAGGAAGAAAGAAAGAAAGAACTATTTAACGGAGAAAAGAATTGATGAAGTTTAAAGAAGAAAGAATGAATGAAGTACAACGGAGAAAAGAAGGAATAATGCACAGAGGTTTAAAAGAATGAATTACAGAGAAAGAATGACGTACAGAAGGAAAATAAAAAATAAAGCATAGAGAAAAAAGAAAGAATGAAGTACAGAAAAAGAAAGAAAGAAAGAAAGAAAGAAAAAAAGAAAAAAAGAAAGTAAGAATGAAGTACAGAAAAAGAAAGAAAGAAAGAAAGAAAAAAAGAAAGAAAGAAAGAAAGAATAAAGTACAGAAAAAGAAAGAAAGAAAGAAAAAAAGAAAGAAAGAAAGAAAGAATAAAGTACAGAAAAAGAAAGAAAGAAAGAATGAAGTACAGAAAAAGAAAGAAAGAAAGAAAGAAAGAAAGAATGAAGTACAGAAAAAGAAAGAAAGAAAGAAAAAAAAGAAAGAAAGAAAGAAAGAATGAAGTACAGAAAAAGAAAGAAAGAAAGAAAGAAAGAAAGAAAGATAGAAATAATAAAGTACAGAAAATGAAAGAAAGAAAGAAAGAAAGAAAGAAAGAAAAAAAGAAAGAATGAAGTACAGAAAAAGAAAGAAAGAAAGAAAGAAAGAATGAAGTACAGAAAAAGAAAGAAAGAAAGAAAGAAAGATAGAAATAATAAAGTACAAAAAAAGAAAGAAAGAAAGAAAGAAAAAAAGAAAGAATGAAGTACAGAAAAAGAAAGAAAGAAAGAAAGAATGAAGTACACAAAAACAAAGAAAGAAAGAAAGAATGAAGTACAGAAAAAGAAAGAAAGAAAGAAAGAAAGAAGTACTATGTATATATAGTAATATTTGAAAGCATTTTCTTCTGTTAAAGCACCCTTTTTGTGGGAGGTCATAATCAACCTCATAATCAACCTCCCCGAACTTTACGAGAGAGTTTCTTCATAAAATGTTCCATATTTGTGTCCTTTTACTCAGTGGCGTTGCTAGAGTAAACGTCACCCGGGGCTGTCCGCTCAAATGTCACCCGAATGACCCCGATTCACCCTATGCTGAATGGTTAGCTGGAGCTAAATTTTTATACATACTCTACCTCTACTTTACTCTACTGACCGGTACGTTACTGTTTACATGTATGATCCAAACACAAAATCCAATACCACAAAATAATCAGTTCAAATCAAAAGCTGAAAACATTGCTATTTTTCCTATTCACAAATTTCCCGACAATTTATTAGAAAATTTCTGACGGGGGGACAAAACTGAGAGGTCATAAATTATTTCTGGGGAGTCATATGCCCGCCTGCGAAACCCTGTGTCTCCACCACAGTTTTCAGACTATTTTTGGCACCGTAGTTTAGTTGAAAAATTTTGTTGGGGGTGACATTGTGTCATCCCTCCTGTGCTGGCACCCCGGGGTGGTCCGCCCCCTCGCCCCCCCCTTAGCTACGCCACTGCTTTTACTAAAACTAAGCTTGGTAAATTATGGTTTTCTAATCAAATTTAAAATGTTCTTTAAAAAAAAGATCAATGACTGCAATATATACATTTATCGTTCCCTTCAGCGTCATAAGAATTACTAATGAATAAGAATTTTAAACTGAAGAAAATTAAACTACTGTATACAGGGTGCGATGGGTAAATTTTCGCCATTTTATATTTTTAATTTCGCGCGTGCGCATTGTTTTTGATTTTGTCGACTGCACAGTATAGTAGGGTCGGTTGGACACCATCTTTGAGAAAAAGACCACCATGACGCAATTCATTCCACCACAAATTTGAAAACGGCATGATGTACTGATTAGCATTTGCACTGGAATCTCCAATAAGAACATTTTAGAGTGTTTGGGTGCCAATCTGAGAACAGTGCAAAGGATTCGGAAAGATTTGAATGATATATCCAGTCAACATCATGGTGTTTGAAGTGATCACGATTGATGGCAGCGCCATGCATCCATTGATCTTTCCATAGGGCTTCAGACTCAATACGGAGGTCTACATCAAGTGCCTTGAGGAGGTAGTACTGCCCTGTGTCAAGCGTATGCCTGCTGGAATACCCTATCTCTGGCAACAGGACACTGCACCATGCCACACAAGCAGGAGAACCTAGTGATGCCTGTCAGACAATTTCTGCGACCACATTCACCCCCTTACGTCTGGCCACCTAACTCCCCAGACTACAGCCCCCTTGATTATTATGTGTGGGGCACAGTTGAGCGAGAGACCAACAAAATCCCTAACACCAAATACCAAAGATGAACTGAAGTTAAGGATTATTGCAGCATTCACCAACTTAAACAAGAAGACAGTCCAGAAGAGATGTAGGAAATTCCGTAGTCGAATTGGTTGAAGTCAATGGCGATTTTATTGAATGAATTTACTCTTTAGTATTTCAAGATATTTGTGTGTAATTTTGCTAAATATATCTGTTAAAATGAAATGTCAGTGTTAAAAGAAACATTTTGCATAATTTAGACGAAAATTTATCCATCGCACCCTGTATATGCATATATATTTTTAGGCTGTGACTGGTATTCTGAGTTCGACTTTAACAATAAGTTTGCAAGACATAGTCGGCTGGCATGGTATGTTCTGGGTGTCAGCTGGACTGACAGGAGTATGTAAGTATACAAAAAATACATATATAATGTTTTGTACAGGGCTTGGCTTGTTTTGTAAATTTTCTTCAGGTTGCTGGTTGGTTTTCATGTGACGGATGAGACCGGACGCAGCGGTTTCTTTAAATCTTGTGACAGACACTATATGTTAACTTATTACCAGCATCGTGTGTGTGCGTGCGCACGCGCATGTGTGTGTGTGTGCGCGCTTCAGTGTATGTGTGTGTGTTGTCAAAGGTCCACTAAAAGGCCTCTTTTTTGGTTAACTATACTGGAGAGACATACTCGGCCACATTCAGAGCATATAAAGTCATGGATTATAGAATCAATGATTACCATTTTCCTAGGTTACATCGTGACCGAAAGTTTGAGGGTACCATCATTGTTCAAACTGGTGATCACGCCAAATTATGCGCTCTCTCAGAGAAACTGTAACTAACGTCTGTCCAGCATAGTTTCAGTATAAACCACATACATAGAATATAACAACGAGACCTACATACATACAAAATGATGCTGACAGTCAACATATAGTGTTGTTTTAGAGATTAAATTTATATATATATATGTGTGTGTGTGTGTGTGTATTAATATCATACGAAAGAACTGTTAGATTGATGATCCGAAATTTTTTTAGAATTTTTGTTTTTATTTCTAGTGCTCGATATATGAATAGAGCCCACTGTAGCCAGACAAAAAAAAAAAAAACAATCCAACCTCACACTACTCCTAAAACTTGGCATATCCCAAACACCCCCTCTTCCATTAAAGAAGTGATCCATTGTTAAAGAAAAAACAAACCACAGACCACACCTCCATTTCAAAACTATAAATGTACCATGGTTATTCCAATACAACGTTTGAAGATAAAACTGTCACCCAGTAGGTAAGGTCTAATATTGGAATTAAACTTAAATACTGCTGACCAGATTTGAAATATAGTAATTTCTGTGTCGCGATGGAATTATATTGTTTTTTTAAATAATTATAAGGCTACCAGTGCTTTCGGCAAACTTCGCCATCGCTTGTGGAATAAGCGGGGTATTCGACTGGATACGAAAATTCGGATTTACAGAGCTGTTGTACTTGCCATCCATTTGTATGGCTCAGAGCCGTGGACTCCATACAGATATCAAATACGCCACCTAGATGTTTTCCATAAAAGCTGTCTGCATGCAATCTGTGGAGTTAACCTTCAAGATAGGACATCTACCGTAGACCTGTTTAACAAGTGTAATATTGGAGGAATCGAGACTTTTCTCATACAGTTTCAGTTACGGAGGACTGGTCATGTCTTGAGAATGTCTGATCACAGGATACCCAAGATCCTAATGTACAGCCAGTTAGATCAGGGCTACAGGAATGTAGGAGACCCATGGCTACAAGACAAGCTGAAAACAACTTGTCAGCAGTCAATATACCATAACACCCTTGAGCGCTTAGCTTTGGAGCAGGTAGAATGAAATCAACGTGTTTAGTGGACTCAGCAGTTTTCAATCTGCTTGTCTAAATCATCTTCAAGAAGCGAGCAAGATCTAAAAGGTCAGCCAATCTAAGTGATCTCATCTCACAATCCTCACTTGCTCCATATGTGGCCTCCTTTGTAAATCACTAGCAGATCTTAAATTCCATAAGATTATCGCACAAAATTTCATAACTGAATCAACTAAGCTGTCAGATCCTCATACGTCAAAACCAACAGGAGGTCCATTATATATATATATCTAACCTCTCGGCCATAGGGATATATATATATATATATATATATATATATATATATATATTACTAACCTCTCGACCATAAAGGGATATATATATATATATATATATATATATATATATATATATATATATATATATATATATATATATATATATATATATATATATATATATATATATATATATATATATATATATATATATATATATATATATATATATAT